GGTGAGGGGATGATGGCTGTTTGCAGCTGGTCACACACCCTTCAGGGTGGGGGTCCCCACTGGGGTGCCTGGCCAGTCTGGGTGAGGGGCTGAGGGCTGTTTTCAGGCCCACTGAAGCTCCCAACTGCTTCTTTTTTTCTTTTTCTTTTTTATTCTGGGCCAGCTTTAGCTCTGAGGCTCCAGCTCTTAGGCCTCCGCTCCTGAAAGCAGGTATCTGGTTTGTTTCGGTTCTAATCGAAACTCTGTATCAACTCCAGCTCTGAGATCCCAGCTCTCTGAAAGCTGATTTCTGGGGTTTTGTTTAGCTCTATATTTGTTACAATGTTTGAAACTGCAGGCTCAGAGGCCAGCAAGGCAGGCGGGGAAGTTGCAGTCCTCCATCACTGAAGCAAGCAAGCCTCATGTTAGTTTCAAGCTGCCTGGCTGCCAGTTAATTTGCATATCTCACTGATTAGCCAATGGGAAGGGTAGCGGTCATATGCCAATTACCATGTTTCTCTTTTATTAGTGTAGATTCTGTGTTGATTCCCTCCCTTTTTCTTTCTCTCTCTCTCTCCCTACTCTTGAGTAGGGTGGGGGCACCTTTGTGTCTGTGGGCAGGGAGTGCAAAGTGTAGCATTCAGGCCAACCCACAGAGTCCCAGTCCTGGAGTTGACTTTCTTATGACAGTAATACCAGGTACATGAGCCTGTCATCTGGACAGATTTCACAGGAGTGCAGTAAATTTAGCTTCATGCTAAATTTATTCACTACAAAACCCTCCCCAAATTCCTCCTATTTAGACAACCTGTTTTTCTGCTCCTAATTATTGTTTCATTTACCTCTGGGTTTGTTCATTGGAAAATGGTTAGCGTGAGCAGAGGGCCTGTAACCAGGGTCACTAGAAACCCACTGTCCACCTGACTGCCAGCTCTGCTCTTTGCTCTCTTCACATGTGTGGTCACAAAAATGGAGGCACTTTCCACCTAACCACCTCCTCTTTGTGTCTGTTCGCTCAGAGGTGCATGCTTTCCTGAATTCAGTGGCTTATTTAACACATTTATCTCTACTAACCAATCCTGGCATATTGCCTCCCTAATGTAAATGTCAGGTTGATCGTGTTGTTCAAATCTTCTGTATCCTCACTAGCTTTTCCGCTTGTTCTGTCAATTACTGGGAAAAGGATGTTGAATTTTCTAATCATAATTATGGATTGTCTATTTCTCCTTTTATTTCTGTTGGTTTTTGCTTTATGTACACTGAAACACAATTCTTAGATGTATACATATTTAGGATTGTTATGTACTTTGATGAACTGACCTCTGTATTATAAAGTCATCCTCCTTAACTTTCATAATATTCCTTGCTCTGAAATCATCTTTGATATTAATAAGGCTGCCAGAACTTAATTTTAATTACAGTATTAGCCTGGTATATCCCTTTCAATCCTTATACTTTTAACCCATCTTTGTGTTTCTATATAAAGTGAATTACTCTTACAGACATCTTACTGTTGGTTCTTGCTTTTTATTTGATAGTTTCTGCCTTTTAATTGAAGTGTTTAGACCATTTACATTTAATGTAATTGTCAATATAATTATGTTTAAACCTATTATCTTGCTACTTGTTTTCTATTCAGACTGTTTTATTCCCTTTTTCTGGCCCTCTTTTGTATTTTTTATGATTCCATTTTGTCTCCTATTGGTTTATTAGCTAATCTCTTTGTGGTTGCTTTAGGACAGGAGTTAGAAATTTTCTGTTAAGGGGCAGGTGATAAACCTGTACAGCTTTGCAGGCCATTTGGTGTCAATTGCAACTATTCAACTCTGCTGTTACAGCAGAACTGTTTGTGTGGTGTGGCTGTTTACAAACACAGGCAGCAGGCCTGCTTTAACCTTCAGGATATACCAGGCTAATACTGGCTGTAATAATGGGCACTCTGTCATTATCTTTGTTCCTCTGTATTTAGCATACCTTTTTCCTCTGGCTGTTTTTAAGATTTACTTACTTATCACTGATTACTGTGGTTTTCTTCATGTTTCTTGGGTTTGTTGAGCTCTTGGATCTGTGGGTTCATGTCATGCCTCCTCAGTTTGCTTTCTGGGACTCCCATTGCACATATGTTGGGCTGCTTTATATTGCCTCACATCCCACTGATTCTATGTTGTTTCCATTCTTCTGTCTTTTATCTTAGATCATTTCTATTGCTCTGTCTTCAAGTTCTCTAATCATTTCTTCTTTGGTGTCTAATCTGCTAAGTAATTCTATTCAGTATTTTTTTTTATTAGCTATTATACTTTTGCCTCTAGACCAGCCGTGGGCAAACTATGGCCCCACGGGCCGGATCCGGCCTGTTTGAAATGAATAAAACTAAAAAAAAAAAAAAAGAAAAAGAAAAAAAGACCGTACCCTTTTATGTAATGATGTTACTTTGAATTTATATTAGTTCACACAAACACTCCATCCATGCTTTTGTTCCGGCCCTCCGGTCCAGTTTAAGAACCCATTGTGGCCCTCGAGTCAAAAAGTTTGCCCACCCCTGGTCTAGACTTTGGTTTTAATCCCATATACTTCTCTTTATGCTTATGCTTTTCTATATTTTCTTGAACATGTGCAACATATTATAATAGTTGTTTTAATGTCCTTGCCTACCGATTCTATCACCTGACATTTCTGAGTCTGTTTTTACTGATTAGTTTTCTTCCTTCCTGGTTATGGGTTATGTTTTTCTACTTCTCTGCATTTTTGGTTGGATGCCAGACATTGTGAATTTTACTTACGTGCTGGATGTTTTGTGTTCCTTTAAATATTTTGGGCTTTGTTCTGGGACACAATGAGGTTATCTGGAATCACTTTTGGTTCTGTTGAGGCTTACATTTACACTTGTTGGGCGGGTCCTGGACAGCCTTCAATCAAGGCCCAATCTGGCAGTTTCTTTCTGGGGATCCCACTGGAGGCCTCCTGGGTTAACAGCGTCTTTCCACTGTGCTCGGAAGGAACGTGCACGATTCCTGGAGTGGTTTTGTGAACTTTCCAGTGGTCCTTGTCCCCGCCTGGCTGTTTTCTCACAGGCATGCAGACCAGTCCTCAGCCAAAGACCTAAGGGGACCCCTCAGGAGACAGGGGGCCCTCTCTCTGCATCCTCCTCCTGTCCGCACTGTCTTGTGAATCCCAGCGCCCCATCTCCTGCCCTCCCTGGGTCTCCTCCATCCTGAGGTCGCTCCCTCCTTTTGTTTGGCCTGGACACTCCAGGCACTGGACAGGGCTCACTGGACTGTGCTGCCAGTTATTTAGTATCTGGAAAACTTTGTTTTATATGTATTTTATCCGGTTTTATAGTTTTTTAGTTATTTTTTATGGCAGGAGAATAAATCTAGTCCCTGTTATTCCACCATAGCTGGAAACAGAAGT